TGTTAGACTTAGACCTACAGGCATTCTCTGCGACACACTCTTTCCAGCATATTCTTTATCATTAGTTGAAATTTATAAGAAATTACCAAAATTTGTGGGTTATGGTTTAGCCCCTGTGGTTGGCTAGATTGAATGAAATCATTAAGGAATATGTAATCACCACTACCATGATTAAGAATCATTTTCATCAACTGCTTATCACATCTACCTTTCTTGCAGGTAGTCTAACAGTTCGACTCAAAAATAGATGGTTACTGCCAACATATACTGCAAACAACCTAGGAAGTTAATTTCTAAATTGATTATATTCTTGAAAGTGAAAGAATCCTAGAAGAGTATATGAAGAGGTTTAATAAGACTTTATATATCGATTGTATTTTAATCAATCTAGGAAATTACTTTTTAAACTGATTATAATATCTAAATTAGATGGAAAACAATATTGCATCGATTTTAAAAATTTTAAAAATTAAGGGATCAAATTATATAAAAATAGGGATTAAAAGAATAATTGAACCTAAATTTTAACTAACAATAGAGAGTGTGTGGGAGTGAGTTAAAGTGTGTGTAGGCACTCCTCAAAACCATCCTCATAAACACCTTAACACAGTCAAGACCATGAGACGGCAAAGTCAGAGGATTCTCCTGTCAATACCAAGATAAAAAAAAAATATAAATAAATAAAAAACCTCATAAACCAGTGACAAAATATTACACTTGTTCATCTTATAACTTCAGTCTCCACCCAAACTCCTCATCACCAACAGAACCTAATGAATTTCCCCACTTCCTTTCTTACTTCCAATTTTTCACCCCCACTAATTAAGTCACTTCTAACAACTACCAAATCCAAAACACAAATATAGCAAGAAGTTAAGAAGGAAAGACACATACTCTTCATCAGCGATGTGAATTGTCGAAACCAAGTCAACCTACAACACCATCAGAAACAAACAGCACAACATCAAAATATCAAAACCAAAGAGACCCAATTGAGAAAAAAGAACAAAGGAAGAAACTTTAGGGCGACCTGAAGGAAAGGGCGCAAAAGGGACCAAGGGAACCTCTTCTTGTAGCCGACAACCGCCGTCTGCAACTCGGCACTGCCACCACCGTCGACGCGGCGCTTGAAACGCATGAAATCGGCGATGGAATTGCTGTTGAGGAACTGCTCCGGCGACCCATTTTCCTGCGACGCGGAAGAAGAAGAAGAGGCTCTGAGGGTAGCATTGGGAAGTGGTGGTTTTCTTGTGAAAAGAAGGTTTCGGTTTGAGGAAGGGAAGAAGGGTCTGGTTGAAGAGGAAGGAGAATCGGAGAGGAATGAAGATGAGGAAGAGACTATTGAAATTGAAGTTAACACCATCTTTGTTCTTCTTCAATGCTCTCTGCAAGCGCTAACACACATATAGAGAGAGAGAGAGTGTTTGGATAACCAGAAAAAATAGGATTTTGTTTTCGAATCACCGAATTCCGACCCTGCTATGTTCGGTTATTGCAGTTACCACTTACTTCTACTCTGCTTTCATTAAATTTTGTTAATTCCATCTTACTTTACCTTCACTTCACTATGGAATACACCATCTTAAAAATCAATGTCTTTCGGCCAATATTACTCTTTTTATTTTTTTATCAATAATCAATAATATAAATTAATATATATATATATATATATGTCAATTTTATTAAATTTTTATTTCAAGATTTGTGTCGATTAAAATGATATACAAGAGGAATATATTGAGTATTTCATTTGTCTTATAATATAATAATAAGTGTTCATTTTAAATTTTTTTACACAAGTTTAATAAATAAATAGTAATTTTTATAAAATTAATTATATTCTTCTTTATTAATAAAGATATAATCCAACAACTTTCAAGGTAATACTATTATTAGATATACATAAAAAAAATAAGTAATTAATATTATATTTGCAAATTAAAATAACATTTATTTTGATATTTATTTTTTAAAATAATATTTCTCATAAGAAGAAAAAAGTATTTAAAAAATGAGTAAGTGTGATAAATTTGATAATTTTAACAAAGAAATGTTAACATTTTCTTTTTAATACCATATATAATACCAAAAAGGTGTCTATACCAAAATCCATTGTTTGTTTTAAAAAAAATCCACTTTTCAAAATAAGTTTGATTAATCAACCTACTTTTATAAAATAAATTGATTTAATCGGATTTCTTAATCTAGATTAGATCGTTTTGAATTATTTACACACCAATATTTGAAAGATGAGTAGTGGGAGAAGAGAGAAAATGATAGAAGGGTATAGTAAAAATAAATTAAAAAAAAAACTTTAAAGATCGAGAGATTTCGTAAAAAAAGTTTAGAAAAATTGTGAGACCCACTAAAAATATTTTTATTATTATTTACTTCCCTCTTATTTCTTTCAATCCAAATATCTTAAAAATATACTTATTTTTTTGTCCATCTTTTATTTAATTTTATTTCTTGCTATCCTACATTTTTCTTTCATACTTCTCTCTTTATCCAAACAAAGCATAAGAGAGTCTATGAAAAATGAAAGATAAGTGATTGATATAATTAATGATTTATGTGACAATAAAAGAGTAATAGATACAAATTAAAGGTGTTGGTGGGGTGTTGTATTTATTTGAGTGTAAAAAAAAAATACCATTATTGGAATGTTTGTTTTTCTCACTTGGAAATGTAGGGTGTTGAACTTCTCTTACATAATTTGCTCCTGTTGGTGAAAGATTTTGCTAAATAATGTATGTGTTTTTCTTGATATATATTTGCTAATTTTTATTTGTTATTTCTTGAAATTGCTGTTTTTGTTTTCCTTAACCTTTGTCTTCCTATTTTTGTTTGTTTTATTGTTTTCATTTGATGGTTTTTCTTCCGGGAAAGAAACTCTTTCTATTTTAAGCAAATTTTTCCACGTGTTTGTTATTACTGGCTTGTACGTAATGTCCTAGATTTACAATTTTTCCTTTAATTGTTAACGGGGACAAGTTTATTTTCCTTGTTTAGATGGTGTGATTTGCATACTTTTTGACTAAAGTGGGGTTCTTTTAAAACTTTATTACGTAAATGGGGCTGTTTTTGAAGTATTTACGTCTTTGGGATTGTTTATAACAGTGTCGTTATAGCCCATAGCGATACCGGTGACACGTGGCATTTTTTCACTTCAGGGAAGCCATGAAAGCCATATAGATAAAGTCGCTACAGCTCATAGCACCACTAAACGGCTTAAATAAAGTCGCTATAGCCCATAGCGCCACCAAACGACTTAAAAAAAATAAATTCAAATATAAAAAACAAATTAAGTTAATAATTTAAATTAAAAAAAATTAGTGGCGCTATGGCCTATAGCGACACAGTGTCGCTATAGGCCATAACGCCACTTTTATAAATATTTAAATAGATAAAAAAGAAAAAAAATATGTATAAAATAAAGAAATTATAGAAATAATAAATTTATAAATATATATTTATATGAAATTGATAATATAAATTAAAATTTGGAAAAAATAAATTTATAAATATATATTTATATGAAATTGATAATATAAATTAAAATTTGAAAAAAAGAAATTAAGTTAATAATTTACTGGAATTAAATAAATTTTTGTAAAATAATTTACTAGAATGTTGAGTATATAATAATTTTTAACAGATATATTTTATTTAAAAATTGTGTATAGTGTATAATAAAAAATGAAAAAAAATAAATTTTTTCTAGGGACAGTATTTATATAAATGGAAATAATAAAAAATACAAAAAAAATGAATTACAAAATAATTTTTAGAAAAAAAACTAGTACAATAAATCTGGAGAAAAAAAAACCCAATAACCCAAAAAAATGAAAATTAAAAAAAAAAAAAAAGGCTAGTGTTGCTATGGGCTATAGCGACACAATGTCGCTATGGCCCACAGCGACACTAACCTTTTTTTTTTATTTAAAAAAATTCGTTTTTTTTGTTACTTAAAGTTGTTATGGGCTATAGCGACAAAAAGTCGCTATGGCCCATAGCGACCAGCCTTTTTTTTTTTTAGTTTTTCATTTTTTTTACCTCAGTTTTTTTTTAAATTTTTATTTTTTTTGGTTATTGGGTCATTTTTTTCTCTAGATTTATTCTACCAGTATTTTTTTAAATTTATTTTGTAATTCATTTTTTTTGTGTTTTTCTACATTTTTTCCCTTCACTTATTTTTTGTCCAGTTTTTTTTAAATTTACATATAAAAAAATTATTAATACACTTAAATAATAAATTTTCTTTAAACTACACAATTAATTATTTTTAATTAAATTTATTAACAAATTACTGAAAATATATTTTTAATTATATTAAACAAAATATTTAAAATATAAATTTAATTAAATTTGTTTATTTCTGTACTTATTTAATTAAAAATATAAAAATTAAGTTTTTAAAATGAAATGTTAATATTTAAAAAATAAATAATTTTCCCCAGTTTTTTAAAAATTAACATATTTATAAAATAATTTTCGTTTTTATTTTTTTACTTATTTTTTCCACAATTTTTTTAAAATTTAACATATTATAATATACTTTTATTTTAATTATTTAGTTTCTGTACTTTTAATTATAAATATAAAAACGCAAAATTAAAAATAAAATGTCATTATTGCAAAAAAAAATACAAAATGTGTGGCGCTATGGCCCATAGCGACACCATGTCGCTATGGCCCATAGCGCCTCTCTTAAAAAATACATATAATTTAATTTAAAATTACATTTTTATAAAACTTAATTTTTTTTATAAATATATAATAAATACTTCAGTTTATTATTTTTATTTTACATTTCTATTATTTTCATTTTTTTTATTTTTTTCTTTATAGAGTGTCGCTATGGGCTACGTTATTTTTCTTAGTTCATCAACTGTGGTGGTCCAGCCTATAGCGACACTCATGTGGCTCATTCCAGCCAACCAAGACAAACAAACAAAAATGCCACGTGTCACCGGTGTCGCTATGGGCCATAGCGACACCGTTATAAACAGCCTCAAAGGCGTAAATAGTTTCAAAACAACCCCATTTGCGTAATAAACTTTTAAAACAACCCCACTTTGGTCAAAAAGCCAACGAATAAAGACATTGAAAAATGTGTTTATCTAATGTCATTTTATCATGTGAAGAACATGTGTATGTGTGTCATTAGGATGTGGTAAAAAGAAAATTTTTTAGAAATTTTTAATTGAAAATCTTGAATTTCCATGTTTGATAGATATTTTTAAAAAAAAGAAATTTCTTAAAATATAACTTTTAGAGATTATTTTTATCTCACTTTCTGAAAAAAAATTCTCAAGAAAAAAAAGAATCCAGCTTTTTGAAATTAGGGAAAAAAAATTATATATATAAAAATATTACAATATTTCTTTTTAAAATAAAAAAATATCTCACTCTTTCTCCCTCTTTCTCTCTCTCCAACTCTCTCTTATTTTTCTTTCTCCCACTTTGTTTCTATCTCTATCTCTCTCACTCTCACTCTTCCCCCTCTCCCCCCCTCTTTATTTCGTTCTCTTTTAACATTGTCAATTTTAATAATATTATTAAAGTTTATTTTACTTTTACAGTTTAATGATATTTATTAATAAATTTTTATTTAAATGAAATAAAATAATATATTTTTATCCTTCTTAATTATTATGTAATATTTTTCTCTATTTATTTCTTTTGTTGAATTTTATATTTAAATAATTTTAATTATAAATTTTTAACTTTTTAAAATAATTTAATGATATATTTGTAATTAAATTTTAGTAAATAAATATATCTAATGAGATTATTTTAATAAAAGATATTTTTGTAAAAAATATTATATATAAGAATATATTATTATAATCAAACATGAAAATCCTTAATTCTTAAAAATTTTGTATGAATATTTTTAAGAATCTTTATGAATAACCAAACATATTTTAAATTTCAATTTCAAGAGTCATGATTCCCAAAATTTATAATTCTTATAAATCATAATTTCTGGATATAAAAAAACTTATCTTATGCTAAATACTCCCCAAGTGTCAAACTTTAATATTTTGCACAAATTAATGTTTTAGAACACGAAACAATCGATCTAATAATTTGCTCAAGTTATTATGAAATAGATTAAGTTTCTAATATTTTATGCAAACTAATTGATATTTTATTGCAGTGATTGATTTTGCATATAATATGCTAAATAAAATATAAGTAAATATTTATCATTAAATAACATACTAACAAATATTTAATTTATAAAAAAGTGATATACATTATTTTAAAAAAATATCAAATTATTCAATATTCTAAAAAAACTATACAAATTATTGGTACTTCAAATGAAAAAGTACTTCATGCTTTCGTGATTTTTTTTAAATTAATTAATAATTACTATCTTTTAAAAAGTAGTTATTTTGTATATGTATTTTTTTTTCTATTTTATCTTTAGATATCTTGGTAAAAAAAATATAAATATAAGTATATTGATCTTTAAAAAAAGACATACTTAATTTTAGTGAATCTGTGACACAAAATCTCATCTATTACTAAATTTCACACAAAGCCCACCCCTTAAATGTTCGTTAATAAAATCATTACATCAAACTCAATCGATCTCTATCACGGATACTACAGATAGTTTTGAGGGACTAGAACAAGCCTTTGGACCAAAAAAATAATAATTTTAAATTTATAAAATCAAAATCAAACTTGCTTTAAATTTAAATAAAAAATAAAAAAAAATATTCGTGTCAACTTATTCAATATTTAAACACCAAAGGCTTGAAATAGACATTATTCAAAAAATAATTAAAATCCAACAGTAGTTCCATATCATACATGGGTGCAAAAATAAAAATAAAAATAAATCAATTGACAAACCATTATAGGAAAATAATAACAATAATAATAATAATGGAAATATTATCGGACAGCCACAAACAGAAAGGAAGGTTTCATTACTTCCCTACAATAATGAATGATAACATAGAAAGAATACAGTGAAAAACAAAGTGCATGAATGAAGCCTACATAACATTATCAATTACAAAATACAAGTAAAAAAATTCTCAAAAAAAATCCACCTATTGTGCCAAACTTATTCATGACAAGCTCCTCATTGTGCACCTGAAAAACTTGGGTATCCAATCAGTGATGAAAATTGAGGTAAGCTGAAATGAATCTCCAAAATATCTACCACATTGCCAAAGAATGATTACTGTGTTAATAGATGAAGCCCTGCTTCTAAATCTACCAATGTGATGGTAAGAAGCTCTTCTGTATCTATACAATCAAAGCTGAGCCTTAAGTCCAAATTTTCTCTAGCATTAACCAACATGGTAGCTACCAAACCCCCATTAGTCTCTTTACGCTGCTTTTCTGTCGTTTTCCTTTTTATCAATGCTGCCAAGGCTTTTATACTGCAATTTGGATGCAACTTAAATCCATACAGCAAACTATCTTCTGTTAAATTGTTCATCTTGATGTGAACTATTTGTGCTAGTTCTTCTGAGTTGAAATCATTAAATTGAAAAAACTTGGTCACACGCCTACAGAAACCTTCGTTTGAGGCGATTACTCGCTTCATTGGTTCGCTGTATCCAGCAAATATTACTACAATTTTGCCACTGTCCATGACAGACATAATCTCCTCTAAAGCTTCCAGCCCGTAGTCCTTATCGTCTGACTTTTGCATTGGTACCAATCTATAAGCCTCATCAACAAAAAGAATTCCCCCCTCTGCTTCCTTGATCTGTAGGCAATGTTTGAAGTTTGAAACTGTTATGCAACACAGAAAATTTGGTTTAAGAAATAGGAGAAGGGTTTCAAAGCCGATAACGTACCATCCTCCTGGTTTTTGGACCAGTATGACCAACAAATTCACCAACTAAATCGGTACGCTGTACTTCTGTCACTTTATCAGTGGGAAGAATTCCCACCATATGGAGTAATCTTCCAAGAATCCGTGCTACCATAGTTTTACCTATTAAATACAAGTCATGTGTAAATTAATTTCAGAACTAAATATCATTCCCCTGTATATATATATATATATATATATATATATATATATATCAATTGAGTGGTCATGCAAATGCGCATATACATGGGAAGATCAAGCCAAGCTGGCTCAAATATAAACATGAGAATTCAATAAAAAGGCAAACAATAATA